TACAGTTCGATGAGTCTAAACAAACAATGTTTTGAACCAATCCATCCATACATGTATGTACTTTAGTTTTCCCCATTTATCAGCACAATTTTCAGTAGTTAATATATTGTTCTAATGTAAGTTCAAGAACATAAACTTTATAACTTGGTTAGCAAAATTTACGCCCACTAACACGAAGGGTTAGTTATCCAAAAATTAATTTTGAGACCTGTTGGGAAAATCAATAATTAAGAAAATGCTTTGATCTTTCAACAAATTTTCTCAACTACATTTAGTTCTTTAAGGAAATGTATGAAGAGTAATCTACAGAATTGTATGTGGATATTTAGGCTTAAAGAGATATACTGAGTGGTCTTAAGGAAGGGGTCATGAAACATTGCTGCATGTATAAAAATGGATTTGTTAAATGACATTGTCAATTGATTTTAATACCGTGTATACAATGTACAAAAATACATACTCACCAATGTAGTCATCATTAGGTGAAAATGCCACCTCTGATGTCATGCTGTAGTGTCAAGAAAAAAAAGAAAGACAAAATTTGGTTTAGACAAAACTTAATGACAGATATATTCTTTGCCAGCAAGAGCAGACCAGTCTCTCAAGTCAAGTCAAGAGTTGTCTAAAACAACCAATGAAAAAAAAGAAGAAAGAAGAGCACATAACAGATCTCTCTTAAAACCCCAGCACATGTTTTGGTATACTGCACATGCTACAACTGTAGTACTGGTCTTCATCTGGGGGGAGGGGGGGGGGTGCTGCCATTTATGGCCTATTATAGGTATATGCCACTGTGAAGGGTATGGTTTTCAAGCAGTTTACTCTGGGATAGGGTATATGAATCAGAGAGTTTGGGTCTAGAATAGGGTATTGTTTTGCACAAAACTGATCACTTGGTTGAAGATTATAGTCTATACTAGGGAAACGGGAATTGCCACTCAAAAATATAAAAAAAACAAATCGGCAAGTTTAAATTTATTCAACACAGGCTAAAGTGTAGGGTACAAAAATTCAGCTGAACTAGATCTGGTATGGGGTAAGGGTTCCAAGGTCACTGCGGCACATCTCCACCTAAAAATTCCTGCTAAAGTAGCCTCCCACCCCCTCTGGGTCTTCATTAGGCGACGTTGTTGATTTGCTGTGCAGGACTATGTGTGTGACACAGTGGTGGTCATGATTGGTGCAATTTCAGCATAAATACTTGATTAAGTATTGCTTCTCCAGAAAGTTTTGAAATTTCAAAGCCCTAAAAAGCAATTTTCAGCATTCTGGGGACTAAATTGAAGACAAAAGACTGTTTTTTATTCAAGAAAATGTAGCCTTTATTCAACTTTCGATTTATCAGTTACACAATAAATTCCTACAGGCAATGAACAAATGATGAAAACTAAATTACGTACTTTTGCACGTAAACAAAATAATTCTGTGTAAAATTGAAAAAAAAAAAGACTGAAATATAGTGTTCACATGACTAAAGCGTAACGTAAAACCAGTGGGCCGTCATGAAAGCACATCCTTATTACATTTTCATTCAGATTAATTTTTATGATGTATTTTTTGTTTACAACATTATTCAGACTAGTTGCTTCTTTTTTTTTCTGGAAAAAAGTAGCGACTTTTATGAGCAAAGTAGCCCACAAGTTTCGTTGGCTGTTGGTGCTTATTCAAACCCCTGGGCATGACAAAGACGTCTCTCTCCCTGATTTTCTCTTTGAGGCAAGGGGGCGTTTGTTCACAGGCTACCATAAGGGACAAAATAATTTGTCACACTTGTCTAAAATTTCATTCATTTATAATTTCATTCTGTTTAAATGCCGTAAATCCCCCCATCCCTGAATCAATGTTGTTTATAGTAAAAGAAAGACTTAAGGGTCTAAAATACAACATTGGTTTTAGGGGGAGGGGGTGGGGGAACACAGGGGGAGGGGATAGGTATGTCCACTGTTCAAAAAGGGGCCATTTTAAAGAAGAGTCTCAACACTTTTGTCCCTCATTGTAGATTTTGCTTGAAAATCTCAAACCCGACCAATATGCAATCGGGATAGGAAAAATCCCGATTTTGACATCCGTTCTGATACTTCCATGAAAAATTTTATGATATCTATACAAGAACATTTTAACAGATCAAGAGTATACTTTACTGATTCTGATGTCGAGAAAACGTCAAAAAGAGCACAAAATATAAAATGAAATCAAGTATTTGTACGCAAAGCCACGCAAATAAAAATAAGCTTAGAAATGACAATCGATTTAGCTAACACTTTCGACAAAAAACTGCCCTCTCAGAACACTAGAAATGACATTTCAGAGGAACAAGATTTCAAAACATTCTAGAGAAGAATGCTGCCAGACCTCCCGAGCGACTCGCCCCTTCGGCGCTCGCGTGAATCTTCGATTATTAAAAGATATCCCGATTTTACATACTCAAAAGGTTGGAAGTCTGAGCTTTGTTTTAACATTTCTTACCCCATGGTTTTAATAAACATAAGCATATAAGCTTGCACGCATGCAAGTCTTACACACCAAGCAACAGTTGCATCGCTCGACTACAGTGTACATCTAGGGCAACAAAAATCTCGTTTCTTTACATTGCGATCGTATAATATTTATACATAAGTATATATTTTTTTACATATCGGCCCCAAAAGAATCAAGAATAACCGAAGAAAACGACGAATTGAACAACTGAATGAACAATTCGAGAATCTCAGAGAGTTCTGAGTGTGGTGTCAACAGAGTCTTGAATCTAAATCGTTTTCACCAACCAGAAACGTAATAACAGCACACAAAAATTAAATTATAAAGAAGGTAACAAACAGTGTACTTACTTTACGGAGACCGCGAAAATGAAGTTGTTAGGAAGCAAAGAAGGCTATGTTTTTCCTCGAACGAACAGACAACTTCTGTCGACATGAACTAAACGTACAAACGAGGCTACGTCCGGAGAACTGGGCGCTAGCTAACATTTTTTTCCCGGGTTCTCCCGGGTGCAGTGATGGGTGTGGGAGGGGAGGGGTAGAGAATGTAGCCCGACCGGAAATAGAGATAACAGTCCCTGACGACAGAGATGAAGCAGGGTCATGGGCTCTGTAATTTTCACCCTTGACATCTATCTGCTAATGAAGTGACTATACACCTGTGGTAACGGCTGTCTTTTTTATTGAACAAGCCAATTCTAGTGGCAATTCAAGAAATTCTAGAGGGGCATTAGCCTTTTTCAGGTTCATACAAAAACCCTATCATGGGGCTTAAAAAAATATGCTCAAACGTACATGTAGTCTCCCCAGCAGCTGTTTTGGGGGAGCGTTGCGTAACATCCAAAAAACGGCTGCGAGGGAGACTAACGTACATGTGGGAGAAACGCAGTTCCTTGAAAGAAGCTAAAAAAGAGCATATAGCGCTTAAAGTAGTTTTCATATTTGCATACTTTTTCTTGTTCGCCTTCTTGAACAAATGAAGCCTGTGGCTTAAACTGGACTTGGTCGACTTAGCAGAAATAAACGCAGTTTTCGAGGGTTTGTACCGCGTTTTGGGTGTTAACCTTGCATTTGATTGTTAGTTTGCCTTTGTTTTCTTTTGTTTGCCTAGGTTTTCCGGCTCAGCTGTATCAGCCTTACGGTTCTTTCTTCCTTTTTTATTTTGCCTTTAATCAGAACCTTGACTTTGCAACGTGTTATCTTAATATTACTGAAACGGTAAATTTGCTTTGCAGGAATGAAATTGTTAAGGCAGTGTGTCGTGACCTGTTACTTTAAAGTTACATTGAGGATGCCGCAGATACTTTCAAGCACGGGTGAGTTTCCTGTAGTCTACTGGAAAAAATCGTCCTTGATTAAGATGATAAGAATTTTATTAATAATACTTTTATAACATACCTACATTTTATGCTTTTTTATTAAAATTCCTCAGCAGTAGGAAGGAACTACATTTAAAAAATACGACACAACGTTTGAGTTTTGAAGACACCTTTCGGAGTGAATATACTAACATGCATCATCAGTTTAAGTTAAGGTTGTTAGTAACACAGAGCGTTAAGATTTCCGTATAAAGACTAGTAGTATTTATTACACACGCAGAAATTTCATTTCGTTCTTTTTCTCACAAATAGTCAATTTGAACAGAGTCGAAACATGTATGCATTTTAAATGTGTGGGTTTATTCGGAAATCTTACCCTTTTTTCTTGTACATACTGTACGTCAATTACATTTTCAATTTGTGTTGTATTTGCTTCTAGTGTTATGTTTCGCTTACCTATTTTTTCTCCCTTTTTATAAGTAACCGGCCCTTTGCCATCCCTGCACCTGATATGATTCCCCTATTTTGTGAACTGCCTTGAACTGACAATGGATAATAGGGACTTTAAGAAAGACCTAAGCAAGGATGACGAAAAGGACGACGACGAATATTTCGAATATGCCTGCGCAAAGTCTGGGTCGAGACCACTATTCACTAGTAAAAAAAGGGCGGGAAAATGCACCGCTCTGACGTGAACGCCAAAGTCAACGTAAACAAATCCGGAACATGTCTTTGAAACTCAAACGTTGTTTCGTGCTGTCTTAGTTACTTATTAACTTACGTTCTTGAGCGTTTATCGGAAAATGTCGTGTCTGTTTCTAAGAAATTAAAAAGATATATTTTGCACTTCGGAAATGACAAATATGCCAAGATGAATAAATAAAAAAAGAGTTTCATTTTGTTTTTTCGCCTAATGATTGAATCTGTAGCCGTTTTATATTGGCTAAAGGCTTTGGGTTCAAACCCCATTCAATTCTCTTCTATAATATGTTGGGTCTTTAGAACAGTCCAACTGAAGGCCCAAGTTAATGTGCGGAATGCAGAAACAAAGTTCGGCAAAGACGAATCCTGTGGTATGTTAGTGGAATATAGTGGTCTCTTACTTGTTTTTATTTTTATATTAAATCTTTTGCCGTTATATGACGGCTAAATGCTTTGGGGTCAAAACCTCATTAAGTCCTCTTCTACGTTGGACCTTATGAACTGGGTCCAAATTGGCCAAGGTGTGGCCCTGGAATGTAGAAATCCGGTTCGGCAAAGGCGAGTTCTATGGAATGTCAGTGGAAAAAACTATTCTTTCACTTGTTGTCGTTGTTGTTGTTGTTATTATTATTATTATTATTATTATTATTATTATTTTATACTTGCCAATACTTTTGTTAGAACTGGCCTAGAGTTTGAAACTGGTGTATTTATCGTATTAAGCGGCACGTGAGTGGGGCTTATATCTTTGCTTCGTGATGAAGAGAAATATTCTTGCAGAAGGTCTATTACCGGGTAGAATGCTTCTTCTTTATAATGTATCCCATCCATTGTTCCTGGAGGATATGAGTCGCTTATAGGATACACATCCAACACACTGATATTGTTTTTACACATAGCTGAGTTGGCGAAGGCATTGTAGAGTTGAATTCTCTGAAATGTAAACAAATGTGAAAAAAGTAAATGCAAAGGAGAACACACGGCCGGAACTTACAGACAGTGGTTATGTAGAGTGAAGCACAAAGAGGAACTAACACTCCTTCACTCACCTCCCTGGACGAGGCACTAATTGTCAATTGTAGCGAATCCTCACGATGTTTGCTATCGTTTTAAAAAGCTAAAGCTTGTCTTTGCGTCAATTAAATTTAAAAAATGATACATTTTTGTTACTTAAAGGTGATGTTATCCGAAACGATTCGCAACGACGATTTTTAGCGCAACACAGCTTTGCAACATTGTTGCGATATTGTTTCGAATGGTTACAACATTGTTCCAGCATTGCAACGCTGTGTTGCGCTAAAAATCGTCGTTGCGAATCGTCCCGTGAAACATCACCTTAAGACTATGTTCAGGCATCTAAACTGTTTTCAGTCGTCTGTTGCTACGGACGGCAACAATGGACATAGATTGAAGTTTGAAATGGGCCAATTTTTTTAAGTTTTAAAGCTATGCCTGTAAAACTTTTATAGTCACCAGACTACCCGTGATGAAATTGTTTGATATCTTCTTCATAACTCTACAGGAATATTTTGTGTATGGGTTAAGGCAGTAGGTAATGACTTCAGCACAGAACTGATTTACCTGAAAAGCAATATCCTGGTGGCGTAACCCCTTTAACCCCTCGTGAAGCAGGGGCACCCAACGAGAATATAGTTCAAAATCACTTAAACATAGCATCGTCGAACGTATTTGAGTATTTAAACGGTAAACGGATAATATCATACCTTGAAGGTTTTTCAAAGAGACCCATTGTCTGATTTTCTCGTATTTAGTTAGTTAACTTAGTTATGTGGTCACAGTTACATGGTGTCAGTACTTACGTGGTTTGTTGTGAACCTGCGAAAAGCACCCATGATGTCAGCAGTTTGTCCGTGGATAGCTGTCGTCGATTTCCATACCGGCTTTCCCTTGTACTCTGTTTTCATTTCTTCTATTAAAGCCAGTATCACTGCTCTATAGCTTTGAAAACTGGTCGTCTAAATAGATGATAAATTTAATAGCTAGAAAAACAAAAACAGCTTGCTCAAAGCAAAAATGGGGGAGGGGTGGTTCTTAGATCTAATCGTAAAAAAAACTCGGTACCTAGCTCTAGTATTGATTTTTTCATTTCTCATAGAAAGGTTCCCTTATAGATAACATCTCTGTTCAAAATCCATGACTATGACCAATATAAGCGATTACCAAGCCCAAATTAAGAATAGAAAATTGATCGTATTAAATTGTTCTGATTAGGGTGATATAGTTATATGTCCACCATCTTAACTAAATTCTTCCAAGACTTTCAATAAGCTTGAACTATTTGAAACAATAATTAAATTACAATAAATTACCAATATATCTATTTTTTTAATCTTTGTTTTCCAAGTGGTACCCATCATGATGATGCGGGCGAGCTAAAAGATAAAACAGTTTTGTCGCGAAACAACAATGACGAAAGAAAAATAACATTTCTTCGCCGTTTGTTTGCAAAACTTTAAACTTAAATGAAGTTTCTTACGCAGTAAGAATGCAAAATCACAACATCATATGACACCTACGATAAAATTTGATGAAAAGCAGATATCTGACATTAGTAAAATCCAACTAGTGGTCTATTATCAAACCTGCGTTCGAATTGGTTGAGCTACTACTAGGCTATATGTTATAGCCCACTAGTAGCGAAAACCGCGGGCTTTTTGGCGGCGAAAAAGGATTAAAGTCTAGCTTTAACTAGCTAAAATATTTTTATCGTCGATATTTTTGACCAACTTGTTGGATTTTACTAAAACAATTATTCCTCTCGTCCGTATGGTCAATAGCCCATTCGGTCACTATTGACTCAGAGCCCAGTCGGGCTCGAGGAATAATTGTTAAATATCCCAGTTTCATATAAAAGTAACAGGCGAAAATTATCAGTGAAAATACCTTGACGTAATGCGCACCAGCGTTCAGCAATAATGCACTATCTTTATCCATGTCTCTTCTAAGGATCACATCACGGAAGTAGTTCAAAACTTTGGGCACTTGTAAGCTCATCTCACCACATGTTTCTGTCTGTCACAACGAATTACGGAATTATTCTCAGTAATAAAAGACACTGTGCTAGAGCATTTTACATATATTTAGTGGTGGGCGCTTTTTTGCCATTTTCTTTGTTATCACGCGTCTTTTTCTTTCACGAAGTTTGAATTTTACATCCGGCGCGCGTGAAAAGTTCCCGGATGTTTCGTGGCAGTTTAGGAAATGTGCTAAAGCGTTTTACATATAATCAGCGTAATACTATTGGTCCATAAATTTCTAAAAATGTAGACAACCTCGTTACCGGGGTGATCTATTCGTCTTCCCGGGAACAAGTGGAAAGGATCCCTGTGAACGAGGTTGAAATGTAGTCAGCGTAGTTGCACGTGAGGGTTTTTTAGAGTTACTCGTGTCACTTAGTCATTTACTAGAGTATTCAATTGAGTTGGGAGGTTAGGGCGGAGGAGAAAGGAAGGGGGATATTATGTCCGTCAAATAAGTTGTACTTTATACGCTCAAACATCATCTTGTGATTTCAAAATCATAAAGGGAGACTGCGTAATACTGATTTCTTTTTAGCGGGAACGTAAATCACTGCAAGTTACCAAGACTTTGGAAGCACGTTAGCAGTGTGGGTGTGACGACCAGATAGTGTCACCGGCGCACATATCTTACACCCTTAACGTCTTTCAAGAATTGAAAAACATGACTGTTTGTCTAGGATCAACGCTTTAGTTATTAGGGAACTTAAGCAGTAACGAAGGGGACGGCAACGAAAACGTCACTTCAAAAGTGAATACGCGCTACTTCAAACTTTATCGTGCTTATTTCATCTAATTCAATTCGTCAAATGTTTGCAAATTTTCCTGGAGTTGATTGTGAAAGACTGTATCGAAATTAAGGAAAAGAAAAAGAAAGTCTTTCTGCTGTGTTCACGTCCCCCACAAAACGTGGAATTAGGCACTTTCACGTAGTAGTCGTGTAGTGAAGGTAAAGAAATGTACGAAAAAGCGTGATGCACATGCTAAGTTGTGGTTTTTGCCAATCTAAACCTACTGCTTTTTTGCCGTTCTCGTTGCCGTCCCCGGCGTTGTTGCTTAAGCTCCCTATTATTACCAAGAAACCAATTGTAAAGAAAAATGAATTTTCTGGACTCTAAAAGGTGGTCGTGGTTCAAGCTTAATAGGGGTGGATAGCTATAGACGAGTTCAATCGAGAAGTAAGCTTAGGTGTTCATATATTTCTGTAATAGTGTGTCTTTTTGGACCAGAAGTTCTAAAAAGAAGTAGCTTTGCCAAAAAAGGTACTTTCCTGGGGTTGCGTACGGGTCAAATCAAAAAATGACGTAATACAAAAGTTTGATAAGACACCAAACAATAACCATACCAAAACAAAAGCAGGAGCAGATCTAGGGGAAGAGTGCAGGGGGTGCGAATCCCCCCCCCCCCCCCCCGGGCAAGGTCACAAACAAAAAAACATGGGTTTTTCACAGGCGGAAAAAAAACAGAGAGGGGGAGAAGAAGATTTTTTTGAAACGGGAAGAAAGGGAGTGGGGGTCCTCATACACACCCGCAGAGCAAAAAAAAGTAAAAAAAAAGTTTTAAAAAACAACAAAAAAAAACCAAAACAAAACAAAAAGAGGAGCAAAGCTAGGGGAAGGGGGGAGGGGGTGGGAATCCCCCCCCCCCCCCGAGATGACATGCTCAAAAAAAACTATGTGGTTTATTAGAGCCGAAGTAAAACATGAGACGAGGTTGAAGAATTTATGTGAAACGCCGTAAAAGTGGTAGTTCGGCACGTCACGTCACCAGTCGGTTACGGCGCCATTCCTTAGTGGTGCATCCCCAACCCCCCTTCTCGTAAGAAAAATCCTGGATCTGCCCCTGAAAAGCGAACCAACAATGGTTCCGTAACACCAAGAAACACCACCAAAAAAGGTCAACATTTCTTTTTTAACAAAAAACATAATTTAAGACGGAATCCACCAGGAAACTGAATAATTTTAATTTTCAGTGGACAAAAGCATTGTACCAGAATAATTTAATATTGCATTCTTTTTTACATCTTCAAGGGCTAAAGATATAATTAGTCATTTGTAATAACACCAAAGAAAATTTCCGATGGGAGCCCAAGAAAATGAATGTCAAATTTCACAAAATGACATCTAAAACATGAAGTTTTTAGAATTTTACCTGTGTTTTCACAATTCTTGTGAAATTTGACATCCATTCATCAACTTTCTTTGGTGTTATTACAGATGACTAATGTCATCTTTAGCCCTTGAAAAATGTAACAAAGAATACAATATTCTTTAAATTATTCTGGTACAAGGATTTTGTCCACTGAAACTGAAAATTAAAATTACTCAATGTCCTGGTGGATTCTGTCTTAATTCAAACCTTTTTAAATTCTGCATACAAAACGAAACGAATAGCCGTTATTAAATAAAACAAGTCGCGAAATGAGCGATTTTTTTCGTCAGTAGGGTGCAGAGTTTAACGACCTTGGCGACACACCACTACCCAAGCTTCCTCTAAGTAACCCCCCGGATCCAGTGTAGCTTTTCCAAGCGCATTTCACGTTCTAACGGCTTAACGGCCATGCTGGTGATTGGAAATAAACTTCACTAGGAGCCCATACCGCGTGAACGACTTACGTTACTGAATTTTTTCCAAGAAAAATGGATTCAACTGGTATTTGAAACAGCCGTGTAGTATACTTACTAGCTCGTAGAGAGTCTTGGGGTATATCCAGTTATATGTACAATTACAGTCTTTGAACACTGTCGAACAAACCAGCCTGCCAGGTTGGGTAAGTGACTTGTAGAAGTAATAACTCAATGAATCCCCATATATCCACAAGACACCTCGACCTGTCACGTGATCGTGTTGTTTTTGGTGGTTTTTCAAGAACGTGTAATCTGCGAGAGGGAATAAAATTGATTGGTCTTTAATGACTGATAGGTCCTTTGTTTATAGCTCGCAGTCATGTGAGCTTTTTAATGCATTGTAAATAACTTTACGAAATTTTAGAGATCGAAAGTTACCAAAATTAGCTAGCAAGCCAATTTTGGGCTGATTGATACATTAGGCGAAATCTGTCTTTAACCGAATGTAAAATCCAGGTCTATGATCATTGATTAAAAAAGAAAAGCACATTGTATACTAATTGGATGCAAGCACCGTATGCAAAAAGGTAAAGAAAGAAAACAAAATGTTGTTAAAAAAGGTTTCAACTCTTCGAATGGCTTGTCACGTGTACAGTCAGAACATTCCATCAATAAATTCAGAGTCTGTGGCTCTGTAGTCCGCATAAGTATTCACAATGGTACATACTTTTGCAAGTTCGGACCTTCCAATGTTCGCCACAAAGTTCAGGCTCTACACGCTATAAGCTACATCGCACAACATTATCTGTATGTTGAAACGCATCGCATTGAAGTAAACAAAGCAAATATTTACTAAAAGAGTGACATCTGTATACGTTGATCTTTCAATGACATATTTACGTAACATTAGGAAAAAAACTGGCAATCTATTCACGTGTAAAATCGTATAATGTCCAGTGCTAAAAAGTTAACTTTAAGATCGTAAATACTTGATTCCAGAAATTACAAGGGGAATGGGTATAAGCTTTCGGCGCTACGATTTCCGGGATCATTTAAGTGGACAAGCGTTTCTTATGATTGGTTAATGGTTGCCTTGGATACCATGGACCAATCATATTAATGCTAATCTATCCAAACAATCCCAGAAATCACTGCACCCAAAGTTTGTACCCATTCTCTCTTGGGTTCTGAAGTAAGAAATACCGTTTCTTGTGGAGTTGATATAAGGCTTCCATGTGTAACCAGCCACCCATCTGCCAAAACCATCCCACAGTACGTTACATTGAATATCACACTCGTTGTCCGCCTGACGCATGTTATTTTGAATTTCTAATGCATTCAGTTTGACAAAGTACAGTGATTAGTTTAGTTATGTACATACCTTTAAAAAATTCAAAAAACTCATCCTCGGAGACCCAGGGTTTAGACTTTCTCTTGCCCCCACTATCTGCCCCTGGGTCTACGAAGACGCAAAAAACAAAAACAAAAACGAAATTCCCGGTTTACAATAAACATTTGCAATTACTGGAAAGTTGCTTTCAAGTGAGCGAGTCAATGAGGCTCTCAGTAGCGCCAAACGACGAAATCCCCCTAAACGTATTGAAAATTCAGTTTAGGCTATCCAAATTTATTTTATAAATAGCTACAAAGGTATTCTAAGCGGTGCTATAAAATTTGAATCTGTTCGGTCAACCTATGAAGGAGATCATTTTCGTGGCCGAAAGTTTGATGTTTCCCTTTTTAATGAAAAAACAGCCAAACCTGGGCAGCAATTATGTGATAAATACAACTTTTCGATAGAATGGAATGGAACAGCCATCAAGAAATTGTTAACCTTCATCTAGCTATAGAAAGCGTCCTAGCAAATTTCCCTTCCAAGAAAAATTTTACGGAAAACAGTCTTAATCTGGTGGGTGCCCCTGGACACTTCCGTAAGTAATTCAATGTTTTAGGAGATCCCTGGGGGATTACTTCTTACAATTGCCCATACAGGGAGGCTCCGTCATTAGGGAGCTTAAGCAAAGACGTTTTTGAGGGACGCACGTCAACCGGAAGTGAGCCTTTCTCCCTTTTTATATGCCTTGACGCTAACAAATTAGTATTGCTAAGTTTCCTTTCTCTTATAAAGAGGATTTATCCGAGAGTTTCAAACAAACCACTGCCCAATGATGCAAAAGGTCCACTTCCGGTTGACGTCGGTCGCTCAACAACGCTGTTGCTTAAGCTCGTCCCTATTGAGGGGTATCTTCCTTAGCGGCTTCAAGTATAGAAAAGGGTATTGATTACACTAGTTGAAGTATATGAAAGGTTAGGGAAATTTGTCATTCCGGTCTGTAAAAAGGCAAAAAAACGTTCGGGTTTTGTGATTTATTCATGCATTAAAGACAGTGCCTTTAAAACAGTTAGAAACTATGCAAGATTCTAAAACTAGGTATGTGAAATAGATACCATAAGTTTCTAGAAGGTTTTCGAAAGGGGTGCCTTTCTTGTCAAAATTGATATATAAAAGGGTAACGGGTCAGACTTTTGGGCGGAGCCTCAAGGTTAAATCTTTGTTGAGTACCCCCTCCCCTCCCACCCTCCTCGAGTAAGAGAGATGAAGGTTTACTTAGAGTTCATCTTACCCATTTCACTAACGCGCTGCCAAGGTATTGTAAGAGTTTTGCTTGTGGCAGATTGCAGATGTTGATTGATGTATCCGGTCATTTCTGAGAATAGCTGGTTGCTTAGGTGAACGTTCTTTAACTTTCCCGAGCAGTGAGCTGACAGTTAGAAAGGAAGAGGTCAATTAGTTGTCCGTTTATTTGACTCTCAAGCAAAGGTAATAGGGTCATAAATCTGCCAAATGATTCCGAGCGAAGCGAGGCGAAGGCCCCCCACCTCGCAAGCTTTATAAATTTGTCGCGCGCGTTGATCGCACAGCGAGGCAGATTGACTCGGGTTGCGAAGATTTAAATAAATCTCTTGGGTGTCCGCAATTATTCAGTGCCTGCGTGGTCCAGGGTCTTACTTCACTTATAGGATATTCGGAGGAAGCGTGTTCGAGTCCCGGCAAAGCTATACTTTAATTCAAACTTTGTAGACTTTGTTTCTTTTTATTTCTTGGATCATTTGTTTTCATTTTGGCTTGTTTCCCTTTATTCTTACTGCGGTTCTTTTAAAGCTTCGCGAGGATTTTGCGATAACGTATTTCTAGTACTATATTTTACAACCCTCTTTTTCTTACCACTTCTAAACCAATCAACCGGAGGATCAATTAGCCCGTCGCAAAGGGTATAATCCAGAATCATATTAATCTTGTAAGCACCAGGCTCCATGATAAGAAAGAGAACTTCATATATTCCATTGTTATGATCAAATACGGTCCCGGCTACATTGGAAGGTCCTTCCAGATATACCCGCCATGAATCTCCGCCGATTGTCTTCCTCCGGGCAGAGTTTGTGCGAGACTGGACGAAGAATCGACTGTATTCCCCCGCAGGGCGGATCTGCACATCAAAAATTTCGCTTTCTGCTGGGGAGGTCGCCTTCCTGTGCAAAAAATAAGGTTTATTATAGTGAGAAATTCCCAAAATAAGACCATACGGTCATATATGGCAGCTCTCCCACATTTTACGGGCACCAAAGGCTTCTACGATTAGAATCCCAGTATGTACTGCGTATAGGCCGACCCTATACTGAACATCAGCTCCAGAGTGGAATGAATTAAGGTAATATACACGCGCTTTAAGGATTGATAGGATAAAAGCAATTTCACGTGGTATTTCAGGGGGAAAACAACTGATAAAGTCGATGAAGTCTGCCAATACGATTAATAGAGGTCGAGTTTGATTGTTCTCTCAAAACGTGGCATCAAATGTACACTTGTAGTTTTCCACGTTCTTCGTCGTTATTGTTTGCTGTGAGGATCTACGGTCCTTATTGCATCCAACAAAGTAACAATGATCACTTCTATCCATGACTTGCTATTATCGTTTGTGAGATAAAAAGTTGTTATTTTCTGCTGTCTGCAATAAACAAACTCGATCGCGATTTCTTGAATATTGGCAAATTTTATCACTTGTTGGCCTCCTGAGAAACCACGTCACATTGCTTTTATCCCTTCGGTCCTTAAGCGCGTGCAAAGATCGCAAGTTTCGTGAATAAGATCTATTAAGAACCTCAGGCTGAAGTTTGGAGAATAATTTAGTAACGAGAACTAAAAGTGACAAAAACAAAACAAAACAAAACACTTCAAGTATACGTGCTGGCCGACCTGTTACAAACACCACACAATTTGCACTTTCATACACCCCTCGCCGCAGGGGTTGAGATTTTCCATAGTTATACCTTATTTACCACCCTTTTATGATTTTAATTATTTATTGTGATTATTAGACCTGTTATAATCAATCACATATATTCGCTAATTAAAGCGAAATGTAAATATATATTATACAATAATTAACTTGGAAAGAAATAATCTAAAGAACCCCTAGCGAGACCACCTTGCTTAGGGCTCATTCTCTCTACGTATGCAATATATAAGAAATGCATCAGCCCAAAACAAAAAGCCACAGGTTCTTATTTTGTTAATCACAGTGTTTACTCTATTATTAATCCCGAGGCTTTTATGTTATAAAATTTTACGGTGAAGATGATGATTGTGATGGTCATGATCACATCCTTTTCGAGTTTATATTTGCCATGAGCAAATCACGAGAACTGATCAATTCCCTTGGTAAATTCTAATCTCATGGTTAAGGCATCGAAGGCGTTCATGACTCGTTATACCAATTGGTCAACTGGAGCGACAATGTAGGCTAGTTGCTTTTAAGGAAACCAGCTAGTGTCTGGGACAATTTAAAAGGGAATCAAGGCCTCCGAAAAAAACCTGAAACTGCATTGTGGATTTGAGCCAGTTTAGAATTATCTGTACAAGATACGATACTGAGGTCATAAGCAGAGATTCAAAATAAATTTAATAATCTCATGGCAGTTGAAGGTGCTTAGTAAATCTGGTTGTTGATCTATAGTTTTGAGCAGTCTCCTATCCTCTTCTTATCGGAGAAAACAACTAGTTAATTCAAATGAGTTTGAGACCTTTAACTTGACTACTGTTTTAATTATATAATTGGTCACTTAGCTTAATTCAATTTAATATCAAGTTTACAGATAAGTCATAATAACTTACGCTTGGTATTGTTCCCCATTGTTTTTTCTGTAACGAAGATTTTGACACGGCTTTTGCAGATTCTCCCAATCTAGTCTCCACTTTCGCTGTCGACACCAATTCACCTTAAAATCCTGATATATGGAACCTCGGGCCCGCGAAACAAACGCAATAAACCGGAGAATTAAAACACAAAAAGCCAATCCGATTCGCATGACTAGAAATTATAAAATAAAAGCAAGTGAATAGATTTGAAAATTAATCAAATTAAATGTTTTTCTAAGGTTTGAACGCGATACTATTTTTGCCTTTAAAAACATTTCGCTAAGCACTAAATCATTACTGATCTAAAAAAGGTCTGCTATCTCTCATGTTAAATTGTAGTCAAGGCGATATCGGATTTATAGGCACATCAGTTTCATAATTCATGTTTAGGTAGAATAGCGTCTGGTGGGCTATTCTTATGGCATCTGGTTATTATAACGCCCGAATTCTTTTCAAACTGTCTTAGGGTTATGTTCACACTTAACCAGAAAGCTTTTAGTGCCGACGCGAAAACTTATCCTGTATAGTGTAAACACATATCCGATATGCGACTCTCCACTCCTCTCCACTTTAGAGATTAGCACGGCTCAGCTTCACTTCCGGTTACAGAAATAACACCGAAATCAGCGATCTTATATTATGAACAGAAACCATATCCGTTATGGTTTTCGTGCCGGGGCAAAAGCTATCCGGTAACTGAGTGTGAACAATAAGCCTTGGTAACGTAGCTTTGCGTATACGAAATTTCTTTATTCCTGTCTCTGTATTTATAAAAGTCTGATACTAGGAAACAAAAAGTACATATACGTATACTCCGTTTCTTCACCTTAATTTATAAGCTATTTCTATGCCTCGTGTTCCTGAGCGTTTTCTATACAAAAAGGCATTATAATCAAAGAGTAACATTGTGTTGATATGTTCGAGCGTATTTGCTTTACATAAACCCACGACCCTTTTAAAGAATAACTATACTTGAAAAAGGCTGACTTTGTTGCCTGTGAGACAAAATACTTGATTCCCGCCTTATTCACATAGGCGAACAAACAAGGAAAAGGGAACCATTTAATTTTGTTAAGGTTGCTGGTACCAGTTTTCTTCATTTTTGGTGCTGTTAACTTGGAGAGAATAAAACAAAAAAGCAGGCCAAGGCTTTAGCAACACTTAAGTAGGGTTGCATTATAAAATAAGTGCTTTCCCCAGAGAGACTATTCTGTCGTCATTAGCTGTCACCATGGCAACATTTTCTATAAGGGATTATATCAGATCTACATTTCAGCTTCCAGCCCTGATAACTAGATATTTAAGCCAACTTTCTTGACGNCTGAGTGTGAACAATAAGCCTTGGTAACGTAGCTTTGCGTATACGAAATTTCTTTATTCCTGTCTCTGTATTTATAAAAGTCTGATACTAGGAAACAAAAAGTACATATACGTATACTCCGTTTCTTCACCTTAATTTATAAGCTATTTCTATGCCTCGTGTTCCTGAGCGTTTTCTATACAAAAAGGCATTATAATCAAAGAGTAACATTGTGTTGATATGTTCGAGCGTATTTGCTTTACATAAACCCACGACCCTTTTAAAGAATAACTATACTTGAAAAAGGCTGACTTTGTTGCCTGTGAGACAAAATACTTGATTCCCGCCTTATTCACATAGGCGAACAAACAAGGAAAAGGGAACCATTTAATTTTGTTAAGGTTGCTGGTACCAGTTTTCTTCATTTTTGGTGCTGTTAACTTGGAGAGAATAAAACAAAAAAGCAGGCCAAGGCTTTAGCAACACTTAAGTAGGGTTGCATTATAAAATAAGTGCTTTCCCCAGAGAGACTATTCTGTCGTCATTAGCTGTCACCATGGCAACATTTTCTATAAGGGATTATATCAGATCTACATTTCAGCTTCCAGCCCTGATAACTAGATATTTAAGCCAACTTTCTTGACGTTTAGATTCGAGGACAGGACCGACTACGAGTACGAGATTTGATTTAAAGTTTTTATCGCGTATTGTCAAAAAATAGACACCCCAGAATTCTTCATTGTACTTTTTTTCACCAGAAAAGTTGGCACTGTTATCGTTATTGAAGGAGGTTGAGCCCTGTCCCGATTGCAAAATGATAAAACTTCTAACATTTGATAACTTGTTCCAGCAACTACGACACTCTCGCTAAAACTCGTTGTAGAATGACGACGGCTACGACGTTTTCCCGCCAAAATGACGCTGCCTCACGCGCGAGCACTACTTACTATTGAGAAAATCTCGTACTCGTAGTCGTTCTCGTCTTACAATCTAAAGCTCTCTATTTATGCGTTGACGGCTTGCCTAAAGTTTTCTGGACTCACTTGAGTTCTCAACAGTGAAAGGTTTAAACCCAGAAGTCATTTCATAAGTAGGTGCAATGTGATCGTCCGGTTATAGTAGTCCTGAATAGGACTGTTGTCAACAGCAACTGTCGTTTCGACAACCTGTCACAGCATGTCACAGGGGCCCACACAAATTGTGTGATCGTTGTAATTTTTTATTTAGAGGAATTCGAAATGTATGGAAATATCGAAAAGGTTTATATTATCCTTATACAATGTGATGAATTCTTATATATAAGGTCAAAATAGACATCTTTTTACCTGAAAGGTATGGTATTGTCGTTCTTGAAGCCCGAAAACGGCGACTTATAGCGATTTAAAAAGGTTTACATTCGACGTTTACCTAAGCGTATAGTAGAGAGACAAGGGCGGAAAACTCGGCGACCCCTAGCACTGGACCGAGCGAGCTTCCCTCCCGCGCGATGCGGTTATAAAAGGGCAGTTTGTTATAATCCATTAGAAAGGAGCAAACGGCGAAAATCGTCCTGTGAACCTGTGCAGTATTCATCTTCAGAGTCATGAAATGTCAAAAGTAAAAGTGGCTAGATAAAATTGTTTGCAGTGGACTTTCGGGCAAATCGTCTTCAAGTTTTCAGTTTTCCTCTATTCGCTTGTAATAACGCTACGCAATTCTGCACCCAATTCCTTTCATGTTCGATCGCAGCGCACATGTAAGTATTTCCAGGCACTGAGCATAGGACATATTTAAGCACAAGAGTAGAATGACAGCGGCGCATCTAGTTGAGGGATACCGTCCCCCATCTTATTCCTAACTGAAGTGCATAGGGCAGAGAATGTTCACTTGGGCCGGGCCACCTCTTTCATATACTGGATGAGGCACTAAATACCTCTAGCCGTCCTCTCTGACGTGAGACATCAGACATCTGTTATCAGACGTCTGATATCAGACAGAAAGATCTGACATCAGACAACAAACTTCAGACGTCTGACATCGGATATCTGATATCAGTCGTCTGAAAGCAGACAACCAACTTCAGAACCAGACATCAGAAGTCTGACGTAAATCAGACGTAAATATGTCTGCAAATTAGCAAAAAAGGCTATTCGAAGCAGGGAAAAGTAATCGTATTAAAAAATGATAAAAATTTGTCGACATAATAATACAGAAAATGATCTGTCATACTTAAGTATAGGAGCCCAAGAAAACCTAGTACTCAGTTCCATGATTTTAAGAGTGTAGGCTAAGTAACGTTGCACATCAGTCTCACATGAGACATTAGTTGTCTGATATCAGACGTCTGACATCAAACATCTGACATCAGAAAACAAATATCAGACATCAAACATGACATCAGACGTCTGACGTCAGACATCTGTTATCAGGGTTACCATTATCAGACGTCTGAAATCAGACAAGAAACATCAGGCATCAGGTATCAGACATCCGACATCAGACAACAAACATCACACATGAGACATCAGACGTCTAATATCAGATGTCTGCATTCAGGTGTGTGGCATCACACAACAAATATAAGATGTCTGACATAAAACATCAACGTTTGACGTAAGAAATCAGACGTCTGACATCAGACATCAGACGTCTAACTTCAGACAACAAACATCAGACGTCTGATATCAGAACCCTGACTTCATACATCAGACAACAAACTTCAAACGTCTGATGTCAGACGTTTGACATCTGATGTCAGACGTTTGACATCAGATGTCTGAAATTAGACATCAGACAACAAATATCGAATGTCTAATATCAGAACTCTGACATCATAAATCAGACGTCAGACATCCGACAACAAACATCAGATGTCTCATATGAGACATCAGACGTCTGACATCAGATGTCTGACATCAGACATAAGACAACAAAACATCACACGTCTGATATAAGAACACTGACATCATAAATCAGACATCAGACAACAAACATCAGACGTCTAGCATAAGACATCAGACGCCTGATATCAGACATCTAACATCAGACAACAAACATCTGACGTGAGACATTAGACGTCTGACATCAGATGACATCAGAACTCTGAAATAAGATATCAGACGTCTGAAATCATATGTCTGACATCAGAACTCTGACATCATACATCAGACGTCGACATCAGACAACAAACATCAGACGTCTGATATCAGAACTCTGACATAATACATTAGACCTCTGACATCAGATGACTGACATCAGGTGTCTGACATCAGCACTCTGACATCATACATCAGACCTGTGACATCACAAAAAAAAACATCAGACGTCTGATATCAAAACTCTGACATCATACATCAGACATCTAACATCAGACAACAAACATCGGACGTCTGACATCAGACATTAGACATCTGATATCAGACGTCTGGCATCAGACAACAAACATCAGACGTCTGACAACAGACACCAGACGTCTGACTTCAGACACCAAACATCAGACATCTGATATCAGATCTCTGACATCATACATCAGACAACAAACATCAAACGACTGACATGAGACATCGGGCATCAGACATCAGACATCAGACAACAAACATCAAACCTCTAATATCAGAACTCTGACAACATGCATCAGACGTCTGACATCAGACAACAAACATCAAACGTCTGGCATGAGACGTCAAATGTCTGATATAAGACCTCTGACATCAGACAACAAAAACCAGACATCTAACATGAGACATCAGATGTCTGACATAAGACATCAGGCAACAAACATAAGACGTCTCATATCAGTACTGTGAGCATCATACATCAGACGTCTCACACCAGACAAACATAACACGTCTGACATGAGACATCAGACATCTCACATCAGAACTCTGACATCATACATCAAACGCCTGATATAAG